CTGCAGGCCTCAGAAAGGCCTCAGCTTCCACTTTTTTAGCTCCACCTCGAAGGAAAGCTGGGAAGAGTCCAATATGTTCTCCTTTAATCTGAGAAATCCTGACTGAAGTCGCAATGCAGCTTTGCCTAACAGAATGACACGGAGCTACTTGCAGAAGTCAGCTCGAGCTGGGTGACTTGGCCAAAGCAGCGCAAGGTGCAGGTTACACCACAACAGCAATGCCCAGCTTGGAGCCACAGCAGCAAAAAATGCCACGGACTGTGTGAAATCCCGCAGGAAGCAGAAGGATCCAGGTGTGCAACAACTGCCCGCGGACCTCGCTCTCCTCCCGCGCCCCGCTCACTCTGCAGCTTCTTGCACGTCCCCCCAGTGACACTGGGGACCACCAGGCACAGGGGGACAGGTCTCTGCCATCCTGCGTGTGATCTCCATGTATCTGGCACTGCCCCTCTGCTGTCTGCAGCTTTCCTGTGATTTGTAGGGATGATTCAGCGTAACAGTTATCAGCTCCAGCTAATGTGCTTTTAATTTCTTAATTTCCCTCATCTCAGTAATGGTTTATTTATTCAGGCATCTTATGAACACCATGGATACGCTGAAATACTCATGCTATGCTTGTGGTATTGGTTTGATACCATTTTAGTTCTGCTAAAAGCGGATTTTGTTTTCCTCCTCCTTTATGAGGAATATTAAATGCTAACTTATCTAAAAATTGCACTGTACTCCCCTGTCAACCCTACAAACAGAAATGTTCCTATTACAGGTTATTTCCTGAAGATTTCAGCAAAATAACTAATGATTTGACTGGGATCAATTTTAGGCCCCAAACTATTTGTATTTCTACAAAGACACCTAATATCAAAAGAGCTTATCCCTTTATTTGATCCATAGCCACATGGACTCAAATTTTTATGAACATTTTCCTCACCAGTGCTAAGAGGCTAGGAAGAGGTGACCACTTATGCATTTAGTTTCCTAAAGATAGCTAATATTCAAATGCAACATTGGAATCAAACAAAATATATGGAAAATATCCCACAGCCTCATCCTAACTAAAGCTTCTCTCAGATTCCGCAGGTCTTGGATTTGTGTCACAACCAGTCTTTAGGCAAACACAGAAAAAATAGGTCAAAACAGTAGCAAGATACTCCCAAACAGATTGTATCTTTCAACAAGGGAATGCACAGACAAGCCAAGCAATACAAAATTCACACAGAAACGCTTGCAGCGTGTGCACGCACGCAGCTTCCTTCCTCCTGCTTTATTTACTTTTTTTCCATCCCTGCTCCCTTCGCAAGCGCAAGTCGGGATGTGCAGGCGCACACAAACAATCAGCTCCTTCAGATCCGCTCTACAGGCAGAGACGGATCCGCGGAAACGCAGGGCCACGTTCGCCCTGGCGCCTCCCGCAGCGCAGGGCTCCCCGGAGGCACCAAATCTGTGTTTAAGCGGGGACGCCAGCGCCTGCGCTCGCCCGGGGGGTTATCCCGACCGGAGCTCGCACGGACACAGCACCAGCACCACGGCCGGGCTGCCCTCGGGGCTGGGGGCTGTGCGAAGGCGGGGGACACGCTGGAGGCCCCGGCAGCAGCAGGGGACACGCTGAAGGCCAGGAGCAGCTGGGGACACGCTGGAGGAACCAGCAGCAGCTGGGGACACGCTGGAGGCCGGTAGCAGCAGGGGACACGCTGGGGGGCCCGGCCGGCGCAGGGGGGCC